GTGGGCAAGACCAAGAAAGATGTGTTTATCTTTGCACTCTCACTTTGGGACTTGGGAGAGATATTGTTTTCATGCCAATTTCCGAGGCACGGTAACAATAATTTTGGTCTAAGTCCATATTCCAGTATAAAACTAGCCCATGGAAAAACTCCACCACGGATTCAAATTCACTCGATGAGGAGTACTTCACCTTTGCTCGGAGTTCTTGGCTTCTCAGACACTCTCATTACATTTAAATGTCATGTAGCATTATATTTGTTTAACGTAAAATTTTCTTCTTGGTTGTGCAGCAGCTGAGTAGTTAATCCAAAAGATGGAATCTAACGAAAGCGTGATTGCCAATCTGCTGGGTTTTGGCAAGTCTTTTCCTCCACGGACGCCATGTGAACGAAGAACTAAAAAAAGAATGCCATCAGAACACTATCTCCAAAAAACAGCTTCTATTGGTTTGTGGGAAAATAGTTCATTTTCAGTTAAGAAGAAGAGTTATAATTCCGTTGAATATGATAAGCTTCTTGGAGTTCGGAGGCATTCCTCGGTTTGTAAGCCATTTAGGAAGGTTAGTGAACCAAGACATAGTTCCATGCAACGTCCTAAAAGTGCAATGGTTTGTCCCAAACAGAGCCCAAAGCATTATGCTAAACTTGGAGATGGAGTGATAGTTATTCCGGAGAAGAAGAGCGCGTCTAGATTCTACAAATCCAAACGCGGTATTTCAAGCATTGGGAATTCATTAATGAACTTAGAGAATGTTCTTTCCATACCAAGCCGAGATGTTGTTTCCTCTTACAGCTCGGCGGCTTCAGTTAGACAGGTTTGCCTTTTCTATCACATTTTCCTTGTTAATGTTCCTTTTTAGATTCCCCGAATCGATGCAGATGTATTTGATCATTCTATATGATACCCTTATACGCGTTTTATAACGAGATTTTAAATTACTACCTTTTCTTATTGAGTTTCTGGTCACAATTACTGTATTTTTCTCAAAGACATAATGACCCCTCCTTAAAAAAAAAAACTCTTTCAAAATGTTTCAGTGTAAACAAAATTGTCTAATAATCAAACCTTATTTTAATGCAATAATTACTGTTCTTAGAGCATCATTATTCATTCCTCTGTATTCTCCTCCCACGTCCCACATCATCACTTTCAATGACACATCATTTTTTCTTTTAATTTTCCCCACCACAGTCTAATCTTTCATCTACCTGAGTACTTTTTTTCAATTTTTTTAACATGTTATTTTCCTATTTGTGTGAAAAAATATATAAAAACTTAAAATGCAATGGATCAATAAAAAAAGGGGAGAACAATATTCCCCTAAATTCTTTTCTCTTCTATCCCTCCCATCTCTTTAATCGGTCTTCTCTCATTTCCCCTTTCATATCATCCTCTTCCCCCCCTCTTTCCTCCCCTTAAGTGATGCTTTTAGACGATTGTGAATTTTGAAGGTAATCTTGGTGTTTTTTTATTGAGCTATGTTTTTTGGACACCCACCTTGGCCTTGTGTGTCATATTATGACACAGTCATTTGAGGGCCATGTGCTGCTCCATTGGGCCCGAAGTGGGTCCTACAATCCTACCTCGTAACCCCCACAATTCCCAGCTCCCCAGCCCTTGGGAACACCAAAATGTTATGAGACCACCCAGTCCCTCGAAAACATGACATTTTGGCATTTCCGGGGGAAGGGAGTAGGACCCACTTTGGGACCCCACGGAACGCTGTAAGGCCATGGAGTCATATTATGACACTCAAAACCAGTGCCAAAGAACCGTGAGGTTCTTTACTATGAGGGTGTTTGGGGTTGTGTTTAAAAACTACTTATGAGCTTTTGCTACACTAAAATAATGTTTGTCGTGTTTGACAATCTGCTTCTGCTTATAGATTATGACTTCTGCAATCTAAAATGGGCTCCAGAAGTGCTTTTAAGCAATGTTAAAAATATCTGCTTTCCGCTTCGACTTAAAACTTCCGCTTTTTCAACAATTTAGCACACTCCCAAACACCCTCAAGGTACTTTCCTTCATAACTTATACTATTGCCACCACTATGCAGGAATCGTTGAATGGATCCCCTCAAAACCAAGTTGGATCTATGGAAAATGCCATAATTTACCCAAATTCTCAAATCAATACAAAGGAAGGTAATCAAAGAAGCCCAAATTCAGTTCTCGAACCACGTTTTAAAGAGATCGAACTTCTAAACTCCGAATGCTTTCACCATCCTGTTTTAGATGTACATAGTAAGTGAATGCATCCCTTCTCTGTTTATTTTATTTGGTAGTTCTGGGTAATACTACTTTTGTTGTTAATTTAGGCTCCATTTATTTTACGATTATTTTTAAGAAATCACCCAAAATAGGAGTAAAACATAGAGAAAGTACCAAAATAAAAACTTCATATTTTTATCCCAAAATAGGAGTTTGCAGTGTGATAATGTGGAATTAAATATTTGCTTTCACAGTCTTTTTATATGATATGTTGACATTATTTGCATTGTAACTCTTATTTTGGGAATAAAACATGTGGATTCTATTTTGGTATTTTCTCTATGTTTTACTCCCACTTTTGTTTTTTTCCCATTATTTTCTTATAAATTAGTTTTTGTATAATAGGTGTGGTAGCGCAGCTCAAGCTTCTTGATGACGTGTCAGATGAGACATACTCCGAAGCATCTGAAATGGCCCTCTCAGCTGCTGAAGACACAAAAAAGGGATATTTTTATTCTTCTCAAGAACATCTTGGCGTGTTTCGCACGGAAGAAAGTCGGGACTTTTCGTACCTAGTCGACATTTTAGACGAGGCGCGCCTCCACTTTGAAGTGGACTTGGAATCATGCAATTCTTTGGAGTCCCCTATAAACCCATTGCTCTTTGACACCTTAGAGAAGAAATATGGCAAGCAAAAGTCTTGGTCAAAGCCCGAGAGGCGGCTCTTGTTTGACCGTATAAATTTAGGGTTGAGCGCGATTTTGGGCTCTTTTTTCGACATCCATATTGCGTCGAAGTCGTTGAGAATGAGGCTTTGTAGGAATTTGAGGAGAAGCGAGGTGGAGGAAGAACTGTGGATGTCGCTTGTGAACGAGGGAACGAAAACCGAGTGGATGGAGATGGAAAGAGAGATTGGTGTTGTTTGTGATGAAGTAGAGAATTACTTGTTTGATGAGCTAGCTGAAGAATTTTATTGCATTTGACTTCTTGGTTTGCAGTCTTTGTGTTCTTGAGCAGGGGCAAGGTCCGCGTATACAAATCCTACTCAGACCCTATTTGTGTGGAATTTTATTGGGTTTTTTTTGTGGGGGCGGGGGGTGGGGGCTATTTTTCTTAAATACATTTTTTTAAAATACATTTGTTCTTTTATATTTACATCACATTTTTTTGGGTGTTACATCCATTTTTGGTTGAATGGCAGTTTTATAGGTTATAGAGGAAAAGGAGTCAACTACACACTATCAATTGTTGTATGTTTAAGGGCATGTTAAAATTTTCCACTTGGTTTTTATGGCTATTTGATAATAATATTGCTATAGATATACTTTTGTCAACTTGGACTTTTGGACTATTGAGGTTTTAACTCTTGTTTATGTTTATGTCACACTTTTTCATTTTAACTCTTCTCTCCATTTTAGATCTTCTTAATTAGAATATAATCAATGGCAAATAAAAAAAAGGATGCCACATGCTGATCAACCAATAAAAAACGGTCTAGACATAGAGTGGCATACCCTACAGTGACAATGGCTACTTTTGTTACTTTTTTATATTTCTGTAATGTATTTTAATTATTAAAAATTATTTTTGCTATTTGTTTCATTAAAAAATATTTCTACTTCCTTATAAAAAGAGTTTTTTTTCTCAAAAATAAAAAATAAAAATAAATAAAAAAAGAAAAATAGGTGTGGGTGCCTTGGAAATGGCTTGCTCTCCATGGTGGAATGACTTGCATCTTCATGTTAAGCATGACAAATTATTTGTTGGCAGCTGATGTGGCAAGCATGGCAGACATTTGCCTTCCCCACGGCCAATGCTCTTAAGAAAATATTGCCTTCGTCTCTCGTATACTCCCTTCGTCCTAAAACTTTCTTCCCGTTGCGCAAAACGAAGAAAAATCTCAAGTTTTTTCAATCTATTTTATTTAAATATTGGTATAGAAATAAAAAATAAAACTTACATATTTAAAAACTACATCAAAAGTTCAACAAAACAAGTGGTGACAAGAATATTTTATTTTATCATATAGGCCATGAAAAACACAAATAAATATAAATTTCCGTGAAGTTGGAATAGTGCTTTGGGAAGAAAGTTTTAGAACGGAGGGAATATCTTTTATTAGTTATTTTTATTTGTCCATCATAAATATTCTCATTATCTTTTTAACAATTAAAATACCACAACTAATAAGTATTATTACTCCTTACGTCGCATTTTAAAAGGAGATCAAAAAATAATTTCCCGAATCAACAAAAAATAAGTTTTATTTGGCGATGAAATATTTTCATCTTTTAACAAAAGATTATTTTTTACCCTTTTATTACTTCAACCCATTTTATTACTCCCTACGTCGCATTTTAAAAGGTTATCATATTTTATAACGGAGTGCATATATCAAGTACTTCGTAAAAAAGAATATTATTCTTTGAATTGATTACAATATTTATTATTTTAAAATCATGACAATTTTTGTTTGTTTGTGTATTTTTATTGATTATTTGATAAAAGAAAATATTCTTATAATGTTTAATTTGTACAACTTTTAATTTTGTTTTTAAATATGTAAGTTTTATCTTTGTTTCTATATCAACATTTAAATAAAATGAAATAAAAAAAATTTGATTTTTTTGCTCACTTTGTAATCTAATACGAGAGGGAGTACTAAAAAAAGATAAATTATTACGTAGTCCTAAAGTCTATACTCATTTTTATTATAAAAAAATTAGACCATTTAAAAAAAAGAAAATAATTATTTATGATTTATAAAAAGTATGAAAAGGTCTATATTAAAAACAACTTGCAAAAAAGAGAGCAAATTATCCCTACTTTATCACCCGCAAGAATTTTTCTCACTTTATTATTTACTGTTTTGGCGTCATTTTCAAGCCCACTTGCCGCGGAGCATCCATTACCGGACATTCAGATTATCTCAATGAATATGCGGCAATTTCGGTTCCCGATCCACCAATCAGAGAGAGAAAATGGGATCGGCGACGGCGCTGAGGACTTCGTTCGCCGTACTGGGCTGTGCGGCGGCAGCAACTGTGATCTACACCGTCGTCACCGACGGCCTTCCCTTCCGCATCGAACTCCTCACTCCGTATGCTCTCTACTTCAATTATTTTCTCTGCTCTCTCCTGCCAAATTTAGAACAGGGCTTTGCCTGCTCTAAATCCGTAAATTGTTGTAGTGCCTTGGTGACCTAGCTTAGTTGGTTAATAAGGGTTGCAAATGAGGTAATGCTAGGGTTCGATTCCTAGAAACAAAGGGAAACTAAGATTCAAGCTCAATTTATCTCCTTCTAGATATTGTTCACACTCCCGATTTATTAGTGAATCTAAGATTTAAAACTTAATTTACCTTTTTCGAGCAACTGTTCAGGCTGGTCTTGAGACCCTACGATGGGTTCGTAATTTTTAGAATTTGTTGTAGTGATTTTTCTAAAATCTTTATTGGCATCCGCTATAATGTTAGGCTCCTTGCATTCAAAGTTTCACAACCAAATGGCCAACTAAGAAATTGTGGGTTTTAAGGTTTTGTAGAACTCCAGGTATTCATTTTTTTAATACTAGTATTTCGAGATTCTAGTTATCAAACTCCAAATACTTGGCGAAAATAACAGGGTCATACCCAGGATTATAAGCAATGATTTGAAAATGAAAGACATAGGCACTCCTAGAAATTTGGGGTTTTAAGACCTGACAAACATGCTCTAGGAGTATGTGAAGGCAAACTAGTCATTTAGTTGGGAGTATGACAAACCTAATAGAGTCTATTTGTTTTACCCAGAAAATGTTTTGTGGACTAGATCTACGGCCTGACCAAGGGAAAGAAGACTAGAGCTATGTTGCTTTTACTTCAACTTAGACGTGATCATGGGTCTGGGTATTCGCCGTTCATTAAAGCTTGCCTGTAAAAAAGGGTCCGGACATGTACTTTTAGTGCGTGGCCCATGGTAGTCAAACTCGCGATCCGGATCGTACGATTGTACAATTCCGGAGATCTCCAGGGGGTATCCAATCCAAATTTCCGTCAAAATCACAAAAATCCTTCGGGTCAGAAGAATCGCCGATCTGGATCGTGCAATTGCACAATCGCAGGATATCATCGATTTTGAAAAGCCCTATTGTGTCGCTTCGATTTTGTCAGAAATTTGAAAAACCCTATTTTTTTGCTTCGATTTTGTTGCTTGGATTCTTTCGCGACTTCCAAGTTTGAATCAAACCTCCAAGTTTGAAAAGCCTAAATTTCGCGACTTCCAAGTTTGAAAAGCCTAAGTTTCACGACTTCGATTTTGTCGCTTTTGAAAAGCCCAAGCCCAACTTGAACTTGTGTTATGTTTTATTAAAATTTTATATGTGTACTTGAACTTGTGTTATGTTTTATTAAAATTTTATGTGTGTGTGTGTGTGTGTATATATATATATATGTATGTACCTATCTATATATATAGATAGAGTAAGATCTTACGATCCTAGTCACGATCATACGATGTTATGATCTTCATTGTTTGACTACCATGGCTTGGCCCAACCCTTAAATTTTGGGATTTTGCATTTCGCAAACTTGAGGGCTAGGTATGGGTTTTAATGTTTTATATTCGAGCCCACATGCCAGTTTAGACTGGCTTATTTATCATTAATATCATCATTGTCATTATAAACCAGTTACAAATGGAAAAGATATTTCATGGATGACAAATATGTGGAAAAATATTGTATCAAAACTAATATTTTATGAAAAACTGAATAGTATTTTAAAAACCGCATTGGGCTTAAAAGTCACAAACTAATTTCAAATCTATCACAAAATATTTCATGGACCTATGAAAAACTAACAGTTTATCACAAACTAATTTTAAATCTATTACAAAATATATTCATGGAAATTTTATGGACCCAAGGGTTACTTTCTACCTAATATTTTATAGGTGGTAGTAGTTTTATGCAATTTCACCCCAATAAATATGTATATTTTGACGCATTACAAATAATATATACTTAGTAACTCTTTATGGGAGAGTATGGTGCTTAATAACAACTTTAATTAAAAAAAGGGCTATATCTATCTTATGATGGCAATGTCTGCCAGAAGTGGTGTTTTATTTTAACAGTTGGAAGTTTTTTTCCCCACATTATTAGTTTCTTCCAATACTTTCAAAAGCTTCCATAGCCTAGTACCCATGGAGAAGTCTCTTCCTTACCTCTAATTGAGATAGCTAAATATTACATCCTCACTGGACTGTACTTCCGAGTTTACTGGGTTAGTTTGGTTTAGTTTACAATATACATGCCTAAGAACTTAAAGTGTGTCTTAGCAAGGACATGGTTAAATGATTTTTTCCTGTACTTTCTTCATAAGAATTTTGATAGTATACCTTGGTTATCTCGTAGATGTTTTACAAAAGACCTCTTCTATATGACTAACCGAACCAAACCAAACAAACTGAATCTATCTCATTTTAGGGTAAGATCTGGAGGGCAAGAAGCTCAAACTTTACCTTTACTTGTAGGAATAGAGATAATGTTTCCGCGAGGACACCACCACCACCCCCATCCCCCTCACCCACCAAACAAACTATGAAAACATGACTACCTGTTTGATATGACTCCAACGTAAACAGAGACGATTTACCCAGGCACATACCATAGTGATTCACATTTATATTTTTGTTACTTATGTTGAACAGGTCTACAATTGTTTTTTGCCACTGCGTGTTTGCCACCTTCCTATGATCCTTGTATTTGTACACATGGCTAAATTCTATCTTCACTTAATAAATGGTTTGAAAGAAAAAATGCCTTATGAGTTTATGAATATGTTACAGGTGGATGGCTGCAACATTGATTGATTTTTATATCAACATCTTTGCCATTGGGGTATGTAAGAGTCATCTTATGCTTCTTTTGAGTTAGTATAGAATATACTCTACACTTCTAGAACTTTAAAAAAAATATTGAAGGGAGTGAGGTGACGGTAGCTAAAAAAGAAGACACTCTACCACCACCACAACCCCCACCCCGTTCATCCCGCCCCAATGTAGGCCTGATGTTCTACATCGGGTAAATTTGGTTCACATTAATGTGTTTTATACTATTATCTGTGATAATATTATTCATTTGATGACGGAGCGAGGGCAATGATCTATCTCTTTCTATGTTTACATCTAGGGTACGTTTGGCAAGTCAAATAATTTGACTTACTTTACAATTTTAGAAGATTAACATATTTAATGATATTCAAATACCTTATTGTTAACTGAATCAAAAGTGAATGGCAATATCTTATTTGATTTTTGCATCACCTTTTCATAAATTTTCCAATTCGGTTCAATCTCTTTTCCTACTCTTTTGTTATTTGGTATTTTACCCTATTTCACTGACTATTACCGAATACTTGTTATTCAGTTAGCTACCTTTCAAACTTTAATAATAGTTGGTCATTTTTCATGTTTTAGTCCCTTTTTCAATTAACAGTGTCATTTTAAGCTATTTTTACAAATAACGGACATAGTAGACATGTATTTTGGGTACAGTAATACAACCTCACTAATGGTTTGTACCCATCAAATCACATTGTATCAGACTTGGGTCGTGTACAAGGAAACAAACTGGATCCTCGCTATTCTTTGGGTTGTTCTACTCATATGCTTTGGAAGGTATGATTTATAAATCAATTCAAGAACTCTCTGTGATGACAAGCTATCCATTTTCTGGTCTTGAATCAAACAATTATTAGTCGCTTAGCTATATATTTAAAAATCAACATTGTCTTAGACTACTATTTACTAGCTTACCTCTCTATATGTTTTCTTGAGCCGATTGTCTTTTTAAAACCATCTCTTGTGGAATCTTATTGGGTTATTATTGCTGTTGATTCAATAACAATGAATTGCCTTCATGGTATGACAGTTTCAAACTTCTTTTTACAGCATTACGACGTGCGGGTATATTGTCTTGCAGTTCCTTAAGCTCTCACCTGCAGAATCTCTGCAAGATCCGGTTTACTTTGTTTTGCTACGCCATGGGAATATGTGAGTAGTCATTTTTGGAATTTATCAAATGTAAATTTTCATGCAATATTTATTACTCTCTATCACTTATATTATAGGAATAAAGCAGAAAGAAAGATGAAGTCGAAGTCCTCTGTTATAATTGCGAAAGCTGTGTTCATTGCTTTGGGCTGTCTGATGCTGGGAACTTTGATTTACACAATTGTCACGGATGGATCCCCATTTCGAAGAGAACTATTAACACCGTGAGTTTTTCATTTTATCCTTCTTGATGTTGGATAATGTACGACCGACTTGATTCAACAACTTTCTGTGTGGCTCTTTTCTTTGACGCCTAATAAGGATCTTGAAATCTAGTTCTCATTAGAATCTTTTTCTAAGGATGCATTTGAACATTTGGTGAGAGAAGCAAGGTTAAAATAATATGGGTCTCGAAATCTCAAAGAGATGATATGAGTTCTAGAATATAAAATTAAAGTGTTCGGAGAGATCTAAAATGATTCACTGTGACATGCGCTCACCAAGCAGGCCTTAGAATATTTGCTTAAACGGAATGCAGCTTCAGTTCCACTAATTCCTGTGCTAACACATCTCCACAGGTGGCTGTCTGCAACGTTAGTTGATTTCTACGTCAATGTTGTGGCTCTTTCGGTAAGCATAGACTATCCGAGTATTACCGATTTTTAAGGCCGTGTTTGGCATGATAAAATGCAATGCAACGTAACAGACTACGTAATGGAAGAATACTTCTTGTGCATCCAACAGGTCTGGGTTGCATACAAAGAGTCGACTTGGATGAGCGCTGTTTGCTGGATAGTCTTACTGATATGTTTGGGCAGGTATTCATCATTTTTTCCCTTCGTTTTAGGATGTTCTTTATGAGGCATTTAGGCTCTAAATGCGAATCTCATTTCATAACTTCAACAAATTTTCTGGCATGTAATAATACACTTTGGCCTTTGGGGTTTCCACAGCTTTAGCACCTGTGCCTACATCGCCGTACAGTTATTTCGCCTCTCTTCTCAAGATCCCATCTCCTATGTTCTTTTCAACACTCGTAACAGGCAAGTTATGTTCGTGACTACACAAGTTATGTTTGTGCCTAGATTAAACACACACTTGTATATTATTTCCCCGTCCCTAAAAAAATCTTGTTTACAAATTACAACTCAGAGGGTCAAACTTTGACATATTTTTGTTTTGAACCAATTGTCCTACTCGTTTGATAAAATAATACAAGCATTACTTTGTTATCTCTTGTTTCTAAAACTTCTGATGTAGTTTGGGTATGTTTCGAAGCTCACTTTGGTCCTTGAACGTTTTGTTATTGCTATGGTAGGGCAGAAGATCCGAAGAAGGGTATGAAGAAACGTTGAAAGAAGACATGAGCGCGGACGACGCCTAAGGCAATGACTTTTGAACTTATATGTGCGCGCGCGTATGTGTATAATATACTACTGAGTAGTACACTCTTATTTACAATGGCCATTGTTTGCTAACAGCTTCACTGTTTAGCTGTTTAAAATTAACCTGTACTATTAAAAAATTATTAAAAATTGCTAAGTAAAGACCTTTTTTATACAATGCCAATATTGGTTCCAGTTTTTTTTTGGATTGTTTCATATTATGGCCCCGTTTTTTCTTTATCTAATTTTATTTTTCTCTCACCTCACCATTCTCATTTTTCACTCCATTTTTTCTTTCTCTTATTCCACTTCTTAAATCAAATGCAAACACAAGGTCTGTTTTGATTTATGATATTTTTCTGACACTATTTTTATTTTAATTTATTTTAGAATTAAGGTGAAACTAAAAAAATTACTACATATTTAAAAATCATATTTTACTCTCTTCGTCCTAAAAAGAGTCACCTATTGTTGATTACGAAATTTGATTGAAATTACTTTCAATTTAATTTATTTGAATATTGGTAAGGAACTAAAAAAATTAAATTCATATACTCGTATTTAAAAATGACATCAAAAGTTCTACAAAACAAGATGTGACAACTATATTATTTTTCAAACGAGTCGCGAAAATAGGTCAAAGACAGGATTAAAGTTTGATCCGTAGCAGGGAGTACAAAACATTAGGTGACGTAATGGTATTATTTTATCAAATAAATAACGAAAAATACTACAAACCACCGACTCGACTTTATAAATACTTCAAAATAACACCCAAAAAAAGGAAAAATCAACCATATCACGTATGATGTTTTAGACAAGATTGCAGAAGCAATATAACAAACCATTGTTAGCATGATACACAAGTCCAGATGCCCCATGATGTTTTTAAGAAGAAACATCGAAATTTGCTAAGAATATTATGCCTAATTACCTGTCTCCACTCTGCTTACTGTATCCGCGTTTAGAACATCTTCATCGTATGCCATATCGTCGTCCTCCGTGTAGGCAAGTTTCGAGGCTTGGCTGTACAAGTCTTCTAGTCCACCGAGTACCAAGTTGTATGCCTCATAAGACACTTTAATGGTGTCTTGAAGCATTCTTGTAATGTGAATAAATTGATGCAGATGAAGCTTCTCGAAGTCCCCTGCCTTCGACGGCATTGCGACTGAGTCAAGTAGTTGGTTACCGTTTTTCGTCCACCGTGGCAATATGTATTTCGTTGGAATCTTGTCGACGCCCTTGTGTGCGAATACGATCAAGATGTGGCGACACAAGACTCCTCGAAACTCGAATTCTTGGCAGCTGCATTTCGCTGTTTTAGCATGCTTGTCAAACACAACATCTTCGTACCCGACATTTATGTCCTTTATGGCGTCGAGTTGATCCACGTGTCGTATAATTCGATATGTGACTTTTGGGCCATCTACGTGTACCTTTACCTTTTTGTACACATTAATTTGTCTCAATTCTTGACTAAAGATGGAAAATACTTTCCTGGTGTATACCTCCGACGCATGTCTCTCCAATGGGCAACTCAATTCTAGCATATCTTCTTCATGGCGTGAGTTGAATCCCTCCTTCTGAGACTCCTCAAGGCGAGAATTAAGCGATTCTTGGAATTGCTTAAAGAACTCACAAAGAGTGGTTCGAGAGTCGACAATTTTTTCAAAGAAAGCATTCATGCTCTCTGAGCGTTGCATGGTTGTCATACCTGCAAAAAATGTGTTACGACAATAAATAGGAACCCACTTACTTCTAGCATCATACAAACTTGAGAGCCATATGTTGTCTTCAAGTCCGTAAGCACGCATTATCCGACACCATTCAATATCAAATTCCCCGTGAGATCGGGAGTCCCTAACGCATCTCTTAAGCTCAAATTTGAATGTGGATCTTTTTCTATATAATTCAGGAAGCTTCTCTAGCATTTTCTTTTTTATGTGCCAATAACAGAGTCTGTGGCGTGATTGAGGCATCACTCGTGCGAGTGCATTACCCATTGCAATATCCTGATTTGTAATCACTGCACCGGGTACTTTTCCGTTCATCGCCTCTATAAAGGTATGAAATATCCACACGAATGACTCCTCACTCTCATCTTGCATAATGCCACATTCGAAAGTCGTGGTTTCCATATGGTGATTTAGGCCCATGAACGGAGCAAATGGTATCTGATACTTATTCGTTCGATAAGTGGTGTCAAAAGTAATCACATCACCGAATTGTTGGTAAGCCAATCTAGAGCGTGAATCAACCCAAAAAATATTCTTCAATCGGCCACCTTCGTCAACCATTATTGAATAAAAAAATCCAGGGTCTAGTCGTAGGGGTGAGCATGGTACGGTATTTAGCTCGTACCGATACCGTACCAAATATTTCGGTTCGGTATGGGATTTTGGTCCGTACCGATCCCGATCCCGAAATATCGGTTTGGTATAGTTCGGGATGGTTCGGTATCGGTATCGGTACAAATCGAGATAAATATACATACCTACTTTACACGTTAAAATTTAACAATACCCTTTTATTTTTGAAAAATAAAAGTGAATTTAAAATAAAAATATGAAAAATTTAAAAAAATAAATATTTAAATGCAAGAGATGCATATCAAAACTTAGTTTATATTTCACAAACTAAAAAAATGAATGGCAACAAAGAAGTATTTCGAATCTTTGCGAAACTTTTATGTTCATACACAAAAATTAAAACTCAAATAAGAGTATAATTTACACATCATAGAACTTGAACCAATTTTTTTTTAAAAATTATTATTTAGTGAAGGAATATAAAAATATTACTCCGGGGTATTATTTTTAATTAAAAAATCATATATACAAGCCATGCCCTAAAAGCCATACCCTGCAGTGGAGCATGGTAAGGGCTTATGGCATGGCTGGTAAGCCAAGCCATGCCAAGCCAAAGACGAGCCATGAAAAAGCCAAGCCATAAAAAGCCAAGCGTATTCTCGGTTTTTTCGGGAAATTTCGGTATCGGTTCGGTACTTGCTCACCCCTATCTAGTCGCTTGCTTCTCTGGCAATACCTCAAAACACCTTTAGCATCACCCTCATCAACGAGCAAAGTTCTCAACCTTTTTGCGTGATTATAACAATCTCTTTTATCAAAATTTTCTTCTCTCTCTAAAATCTTTGCCACCTTCGATATAGGAGGGACATTGACTGTACGAAATTCTTGGTTTAGAAAACATTGAGCGGTCTTGGTCATTTCAATATTGGAATGCAAGAACGACTTATTGATACGGCTAAGGCATGGGTGATTGTGTGTGTTATGCACCATACGAACCACCCACCTACCCTTTGTTCGACCGCTTTGTCCCACATTTATATAAACGGGACAATTACAACGTAGTGATGATGTAGACTTGTCCAACTCTCTTTCCCATTGAGCACTTGTTTTGCGAACACTCCCCTCCCTGCTACAAACCATCCTGAAACTTTTCCCGTGTCTACTAGTCCTAATCCGTACTCCAAACCCCGCCATTTTTGCATAATCAATATAGTATTGCCTCGCTGCCGCCTCACTATCCCAACTTTGACCAATGTAGGGTTTCGGCATCCTGGCTTGAGATGAAACTCCGTCTTCTTTTACACTACAAAAGCCAAAAGGGGCTCAAATATTTTAAAGTTGAAGGACTATTTATGGACTTTTGGAACTTGAAGGACCAATCGTGCACAACTCATAAAGTTAAAGGACTAATAGTGGAGTTTAGCCTTAGGAGAAAGAAAAAACCTTTCGTTTATGTCCATTATCACGGGATCCGTTGTTTGCAACCGTTTCATCGTTGGATCAAGGGAAGATGACGCACCTTCGACCGGCATTGTTTCATTTGGAGCACTAAGAGAGTGTAGGAACTCTCCGAAGTTTACATTTCTGACGTTTTCCATCTCCCGAAAATCGGTGTTACCTGCAAAAAAAATGTCATCTCTCTTCTCATAAGAATGGTACTTGTGATTCATTACAAAGATCAAAGAAATCACCTATAGAAATGAGGCCACACATCTATAAAGAAACCCACAGAAGAAGAAAAAAACTCACCTTGGTTTGGAGGTTGTGCAAAAGGGAATGAAAGAAAAAAAACAGAAGATGAAGTGGGGGAAATTAAAGTAGTGTAAGATAAAGGGAAAGAAATTTGATTTTTGAGTTTAATTATATAATGCCGCCGTACTGTACCTTAAGTCACATTCGGAGTACTATAAATCGTACAATGAATTTGAGTCAAATATATTCCATCAAACCCGATCTAAATTACTCTCTCCGTGCACAAATAAACTTTACATTGCGTGTTACGATGTTTGACTGAAGTTATTTTCAAATCATTTTATATGAAAAATGGTGTAGAATTGAAAAATAAAAATTATATATTAAAAAACTATATCAAAAGATCTACAAAACTAAAGGTGACATGACTATATTATTTTATCAAATGAGTGACGAAAATAGGCCAACCAAGTGAATAAAGTTTGACCCTGTGAATAGTGAACGTAAAGTTTATTTGTGGACGGAGGAGTACTTTTTTTCTGCTTATATATTTTGTTCAGCTTATTTTTTTGTTTATTACGCACTTATTATAACCACATCAGACCAGAAACAGCTTTAATTGTAACTTTCATCAAATCAGACCAAATCAAATCTTCAAAAAATCAGATCAGATCAGGTGAATGGAACACAACCTTAATATGCTTTCTTTTTTTATTAATCCAAAAAATCACATTTCTTTATTTTCTTAATAAAATAAAGTTATGTTACCCACATTTCTTCTCATTTTAAAAACAAATTTAAGTTATTCCTTTTTTAAACTTTAATGTTTTTATAAAAATACGTGAAATCAAAGTGTCCTATTTAAATTACAGGGAGGAAAGAGTAATGATAGAGTCGCAAACAGCTTGAACACAAACATGTTATTTTTGTAATATTTGAAGTGAATAAAATGATTTTAAATAATTTAAAAATAAGAATTTATATACATTAATGATAAATTTGTAAAGTTTGCGTCCAAATAATTGATGAGTCCAACAGAATAAATCACTTCTACTCAAAGCAAAAGCTAAATGATTAAAAGCAACACACTGTCAAACAGCCTCTTATTATATTCCAAAATAAACTTTCCATTTATTTTATATTATTTGTTCCATAATAAACTTCAATTCTCATTCGTTTTAAAGTATGGAACGTTGGAATTTTTGGTTTATAACAGGACAACTTTGGATACAAATTCATTGGGGTCCACAAAAATATTTTTCCAAAATAATTATGAACAATTAATCTCCTAAGTGAGACGAGTGTTTCTTTATATTGTAAGCAAAAAATGATGTTCGGTTGAAAGAGAAATAAATTCATAAAGTCGAACACTTGGGAAGAGTAAAACCCATTTATCCCACAATGAATTTGAGACCCTTCATCTTCTTCCACTTATATGCTAACATTAAATTACATGGTAAAGCACTTTGAGATGGAGGAAAGAAAGTACCCCATTTACAGCACATCACGCATGCTCGTGCGCACCATGCGTTATAACATGGACCAACTTTTATCTTTTTACGAGACCGAAAGGAAGCATGCATGCATTGTGAAAGGTCTCCTGTGACGCTTCAGGATGTCCGCCCTGTCCAACCGAGAAACCAGTTTTGCTCCTATATAAGGAGGGCAAAATCCGAATGGACATGTCGATTGATGAAACAACACAACTAACTTTTTGTGTAACTTCCAAATGTTTAAACTCAAACATTCGAATGTATACAACTATAGAAACCATTATTTCTACAATTTTGCACAAATCGTTGCATTTTATCGTGACACACTCGAATATTTAACACCAAACATTTGAGTGTTACGCGCTTTTCCTTAAAAATTGCCGGAGACAAACTTTACATTCGGATGTATTGTTTTATACCATCGAATGTACATTACTTTAGACCACGTTTACGAAAATCCAAAGGATTTTCATTACTTTAGACTCCGTTTATGAACGTACATTGCTTTGGCTCTGCCCCTTGGACCCCGTTAACCGGGGGTTCCGCCCCCAAACCCGCGCTATGGGATTTAAAGTTGAAGATCACTCTGCACTTTTGAACGTAACTCGTTAACAACGTAATGTCTATTAAAATTCACATTCAATTCAAGTATGTCCAATCACATAAAATAGTGGATAACAAAAAGAGCCCGGTTCCTTGGCCATTGGATTCCAGTGGCCACGGAAGCAACTGCCCCCCTACGGAGCTCCGTTCATAAAATTGATGATTCCTACCCCTAACCCCCCGGTAAACCCCCCGCCAAGTCTCGACCCAAACTAATCACCGTACCTACGTCAATTGTACTACAGGCAGGGAAAGAATTTGAAGGCGACGGCGGCAACAATAAACGACGATGGAAGCAACAAAATCTGACGATGATGGAGTACATTAGTGGCAGCAAGTAGCATAGGTAGTGATGACGGCTGAGGTGGGGCCATTATTGTTTTTTTTGTTTAAGTCAGCAAGTAGTGAATGTTTGTCACTGTGCATGGTAATATTTGATATTGTGGCTTTGATGATGTTTTAATAAGTATACATTTTGATACATTTGTGGAAGAACAGTAAAACAGAGAAGGTTGAGAATTTTATGCCGCAGGGAGGGGGCATCGCCGGTGGCGGATCCAGGAAAAAAGATTCACCGGGGACAATTTCAACTCCTTCAAGCATCATAACCCATCCAATTTCTTTTTAATATTTTCAGAAATTAAACTACTTGATTTGTACCTACTCACTATTCACTGTGGGCATATACCTCCCATTTCATAAAAAATGGATCCGCCAGTGCCTATGAAATGAGGGCATATGCTTGAAAGAGTTGAAATTGCCCCCGGTGAATTTTTTTCCTGGATCCGCCACTGTTCATAGGTATGGATCCGCCAGTGGGCATCGCTTGCCAGTTGTTCCCCCCTCCTCCATCCCTGCCTTTATACAGTTTTAACCTCTCATCATTTTTAATACTCCCTCCGTCCCAAAAAGAATGAGACGGTTTGACTTTTTGGAAAATTAAGGGAGGGATATTTTGGTATTAACTTTCCAAAAATTCCCTTGATGTGATGGGTAAAAGTAGGATGTGATGGGTAGATTATTAGAAAAAAAGTATGATGTGATAGGTAGGGTATGGAAAAGTAAGGGGTAAAAGTGGTTTTTTAATAGAAATGTAACGGACTTTACGAGACGCAATTTTTTCTAAACGTAACAAATTTTTTGGGACGGAAGGAGTATAACTTAGTTTGGTCACCAAATATTCTTATACGGAGGTTTTTTTTACTGTGCAACTATGTGCAGGATTCATTGAAATAGTTCGGCTTCTTATCAATAGGGCCGATCCAGAGTGCGTGAAGAGGATGCTGGAGACAGTTGACATGGAATGTGATACAGTACGTAAGTCCCCATTAAGAACCTTGAAACATGAACTCATTACTAAGTACAACATATATATATATATATATATATATATATATATATATATATATATATATATATATATATATATATATATATATCATCATGCAAACAGCCAGTGGCAGTATTCATTATTGTCAATATATAGTTACATTATGCAGTGTTATGTTTGATACTATGTCTTTTTTGATATTGTATTTGACACTTAAAATGTGGGTGGCATTATGGTGTTAACGATGCTGAACGTGATGGTGGTGGCTACACGTTGGTGTTGGTTTGATAGACCTCGAACATGAAATTTATGTAGTAGTATTATTTCTAATAAAAAAAATTAAAGCAGACCTTAAACCTAAGGCCATAAGGGTCCATTCATGCATGACATCCCATTGTAAGGGTCATTGGAATGAAGGCAATAAATAATACTCCCTCCGTCTCATGAAACATGAGATGTTTTGCTTTTTGAAGAGATTTAAGGGAGTGTATTTTGGTATTGAATTTCCAAAAATGTCCTTTGATGTGATGGGTAAAAGTAGGATTTGATGGGTAGATTATTAGTAAAAAGGTATGATGTGATAGGTAGGGTATGAAAAAGTAAGGGGTAAAAGTGACTTTTTAATAGAAATGAGAAGTGTTTCATGGGACGGATGAAAAAAGAAAGGAGAAAGGTTTCACGGGACGGAGGGAGTATATAGCATTGGAAGGAGGAGATGGCCGGCTAGCTAGTGGAATGAAAAGTGGGTGGGCGGCGCGGCAGAAGGAAGGCCGGCCGGCTAAACGGCCGGCTACATTGGGTATTTTTCTTGATCGAAAAAAGCAATCTTCTACGTACATCATCAGAATAAAGAAGGGAGATGTTTAAATTAATTTAGTCTAACTACTCCTTTTTATACGAGTTTAAGTTTGAACTCTTATTTTGAGGACATGACATATGTTTTACATTTTTACTCCTAGTTTGGTCCTAAAACAAATCCCCCGAGTAAAACATATGTCATCTCCTCAAAATAAGAGTTCAAACTTAAATTTCTCTAAATAGGAGTAATTAATTAAGTAATAAATTGTGCCCCAACTACTGACGGTGTAAAAAAGCAATTATGTAACTTACGTTGATGTCTTTCAGCTATGAGCCAAACAAGTCTCCCAATTCTTTGTGCATTATGATGGATCGTCGCGTTGAAAGATTGAGAAACAAAATGAAGTAATCAGATTAGTGGGTCCCAATCAACACATCGTATGACCCCTCCTACTATGCTACTTTGCCTTCGGTGATGGCCGGTTAGGAGAATCAGGAATTTTGCTCCCAATTTCAACAAAATTTGGTGATAGTGATAAGAAACTTGACATTGTATGTTGGCAATCTTGAAATCTCACTTTCTTTTTGACATTTTATTTTGACATGTTTGACATTGCACAATAACATTTTTGGCATTATGAAATGACATGTTTGTCAGTATGCATTCTCATCTTTGACATTGTGGCTTTGGTTGACATTGTATTGAAAACTTTTTCCCTTTGATAGTGACACCATGACACTATGGTGGCGACAATGGCAGCCCCGATCCCAACATTAGCAATAAATTAAGACATTGACACCAGCAAATGTGGGCGATGGAGGCGGCATCAACAACAAATAGGGATGAGAGCGTCAGATCGTGGTGGTGATGACGATGATAGTGCCGACCGTGGCGGTGTTAGTGGTAGCAACAATGTAGATGATAGCCGCATTATTTAATAGTGATTGCAGCAGGAGATTGTGGCGATGGAGTGACGGTGACGATAATAGCGGCGATTGTGGCAGAGGTGACGACATTGACATATGCAGCAGGGGCTGTAGCTAATTTATTTTTTTAATTTATAAAACGTACTCCATCCGTCCCTAAATAAACTTCCCCTTTTGTTTTTCCTTTGTCCCCAAATAAACTTCTTTTTTCCCTTAAAAAACCACTTTTACCTCTTACTTTTTCATACTCTACCTATCACATCATACCTTTTTATTAATAATCTACATATCACATCTTACTTTTACACATTACATCAAGGGTATTTTTGGAAAGTCAACACAAAAATATCTCTCCCTTAAATCCTCAAAAAGTCAAAAACGGAAGTTTATTTAGGGACGGATGGAGTATATTGGTACATGATCAATGTTTTACTTCTATTTCGCTCCTTAACTCTAAGCTATTAGATTAGTTAAGTTAATTACTCCTATTTAGAGTAGTTTATGTTTCAACTCTTACTTTGAGGATATGTCATATGTTCTACTACTAGTTTGGTCCTTCTCCCTTACCTTATCTTTTTTTTCTTCTTTTCTTGAGCTACTCCGATTTCCAATAGGTAATAGCACTTGTGCGTTACGAGCAAGTTTAATGATAATGATCATAATATATCGGTGTCATATCTTTCTTCTAATTTAACTTTTTATGGTTTTCAATATAATGTTTTGATCATGATTATATAAACATAAAATATTAAAATATGATATTTCAAAACTACATTTCAAAATGAATCTATTATTATTAAATTTATGTCACAATTCAATGCATTTTTTCCGCAATTTTTGGTCAAAGTTTAAAAACATTCACCATAAAAGTTAAAAATAAGAAGAAAGATATGGAATGCAGGGAGTACACCATTCAAAATACAATTGATGTTTGTGTGATGTAATCACTTTACGGGACCAAAAAAAATCCCGAGTACATAATGAATTAAGCATTTACAAGACATCACTTCTTTTTGACATTTTGGTACAATTCCGCTTATCATGACCTGTCTCTCTGCATCTGTGACATATTCTAACTTTGTCCTTTGCCTACTCAGTTACTATACTTTATCACTGGCCTACCTTTTATTTGCGATACATTTGGATCTCCAATGTAACCTGCAAAAAATCACATTTTATTAATGGTTGGTTTGAGAACTTAGAAGCGGATTTTGAATTTAGATTTCATCCAAATTACTCCGTACATATTAAGGATTATTTTGAAATTAGATTTCAACAAAATTACATATTAAGAATCTAAAGAATTTGGATTTGAGTCAAATTCTTTTTATTATCACCAAAGTTAAAATTCAAATCTATACTCCACTTTTCATTTTAAATTCAAAATTTTAAATTTTAGAGTTGAAATTCAAGAAATCGAATGAAATCTAACTTCTTAAACTCTACCCCCTCCATCCCATAATATAGCATTCAAAAGCATTAGGTTTATTACCCAACTACACATTAATAGCTTCAATTGATGCTTCTTTGTTATTTCATTCTATATTCATTCATTTTATTTAATATATCAAGAAATTCATAATGGTATATGATGTTAAAACGAAATGGATGCACTATGATGTGGTAGTCATAATTTTCAAACACCACATGATTAACAAACTCTATCTAGGATATCAATCCACCAACCTAACCCTTTCATCCACACTTCCCAATTTCACATTTTAATTTTTTTCTAAAGAAAAACCTACATGTACAAGATATTTGGCTAAGAATATTATTATGCCTAGCTAGCTAATTACCTGCCTCCATTTCGCTTATCGTATCCGTGTTTCGAACATCTTCATCGTATATATGTCGTGTCGTCTTCCGCGTAGGCAAGCTTTGAGGCTTGAATGTATAGGTCTTTTAGTCCACTAAGTACAAGCTTGTATGCTTCATGAGACACTTTAACAGATTCTTGAAGCATTCTTGTAGCACGGAAAAAATGATGCAAACGAAGCGTCTCCACATCCCTTACATTCGATGGTATCAGAGTCGAGTCAAGTAATCGGTCACCATTCTTCGTCCATCGTGGCAATACGTATTCTGCAGGAATCTTGTCGACGCCCTTGTGTGTGAATACCATTAAGATGTGGCGGCATAAGATTCCCCTAAACTCAAATTCTTGGCAGCTGCATTTCGCTGTTTTAGCATGCTTGTCAAACACAACTTCTTCGTACCCGACATTTATGTCCTTTGCATCATCCAGTTGATCCATGTGTCGTGTAATTCGATATGTGACTTTTGGGCCATCTACATGTACCTTTACCTTTTTGTACTCATTAATTTGGCTCAATTCTTGCCTAAAAATGGAAAACACTTTCCTTGTGTATACATCCGACGCATGTCTCTCCAATGGGGACCTCAATTCTAGCGTACATTCTTTATGGTGTGCGTGGAAGTCCTCCTTTCGACACTCTTCAAGGTGAGAGTTAAGCCCTTCCTGAAACTGCTTGATGAATTCACAAAGAGTGGTTCCAGAGTCGATGAATTTATCAAAGAAAGCATTAATGCTCTCTGAGCGTTGTGTGGTTGTCATTCCTGCGAAAAAAGTATTACGACAATAGACAGGAACCCACTTGTTTCGAACATCATACAGACTTGAAATCCATGAGTTGTCTTCAAGTTCGTATGCACAAATTATCCGACACCATTCAGTATCAAATTCTTTGGGAGATCGAGAGTCCTTAAGACACTTCTTAATCTCAAGCTTGAACGTCGATCCTTTTCTATACAATCCAGAAAGCTTATTTGGCATTTCTTTTTTTATGTGCCAATAACAAAGCCTGTGGCGTGATTGAGGCATCACTCGTGCGAGTGCATTACCCATTGCAATATTTTGATTTGTAATCACTGCACCAGGTATTTTTTCATGCATTGCCTCTAAAAAGGTATTAAATACCCACACGAATGACTCCTCGGTATCATCTTGCATAATAGCACATCCGAAAAATGTGCTTTGCATACGGTGATTTAGTCCCACAAACAGAGCAAAGGGTATCTGATACTTATTAGTTCGATAAGTAGTGTCAAAAGTAATCACATCACCGAATTGTTGGTAAGCCACTCTAGACCGTGAATCGACCCAAAACAAATTCTCCAATAGACCACCTTTGTCAACTGTAACTGAATAAAAAAAATCAGGGTCTAGTCGCTTGATTCTCTGGCAATACCTTAACACGCCCTTGGCATCACCCTCATCAATGAGTTGAGTTCTAAACCTTTTTACGTAACTACAACAATCTCTATCATCAAAATTTCTTTCTTTGTCTGAAACTCGTGCGACCTTGCAAGTAGGCACACCAACATTATGAAATCTCGGGGTAAAATATTGAGATGCCTTGGTCATTTCAGTGTTGGAATGTGATACCGACTTAGGGCTAAGACAAGGGTGGTTGTGTGTGTTATGCACCATACGAACCACCCACCTACCCTTTGTTTGGTCGTTTTTTCCGATAATTATGTAAACCGGACAATTACAACGTAGTGATAATGTAGTCTTGTCTGATTCTTTCTCCCATTGAGCACTTGTCCGGTGAACGCTCCCCTCCCTATTACAAACCAACTTAAAGCTCTTCCCGGGTCTACTAGTCCTAATTCGTATTCCAAAGCCGGTCCTTTTGGCATAATCAATATAGTATTGCCTTGCTGCCGCCTCGCTATCCCAACTTTGACCAACGTACGGTTCTAAAATCCTTACCGGAGGTGAAAACATGTCTCTTTCCACACTACAAAAATGGGTCATGTTTTAGCCTAAAATTAGTGATGAAACACAAATATTTAGCATTTAAACCGAGACAGAGTTTCAAGAACAAGGAAAGTAACCTTTCATTTGGAGCATTTAGAGAGTGTAAGAACTCTCCCAAGTTGACATTGTCTATGTCTTCCATCCCTAGAACATGGGTGTTATTACCTGCAAAAAAAAATAAATTAAATGTCATTTCTCTTCTATAAAAAATAAAAAATGCAACTTTTGATTGACTGCATATTTTTTTTCCAAATAATTTATCACATCAAAGGTAAAATTAGAAGTCAGTTACAATTTAACATTTCCTCAATTTGGCCTTTGGTCAAATTGGGAAAAAATTTCTCAGACCGAGGGAGTAGAATTTTGAGTTAAAATATAATATGTCGTACCGTACTATACAATAACATTATTCAAGCTACATTCTACATTTGTTTTTGATAAACTAAAGCTTGTAAAATAATGTTGGAGGAGACCCCAACCACTTACCCTAAGAAAAATATAATAGAACGATAAATGAATTGGATGCTAAAATCAGTGTCGTAAGAGATTTTGCACTTAATTACTATACATTAGATTTAATTAATCCAAATGAGTGCTTAATTCGTTAACCTCTCTCTTAAATAAAAAGAGTAAAGAGTGATTAGTGAAAAGAATCTATTGTTTTCTTGGTGGACATGTAACAGCTAAGAATGCTATTACTTGAAAGTTGACACAACAAAATACTCTAAAAAGAGGAAAGATAAATACTTACTTCATCACCAATTCTTCTTTTCATTTTGAATGTTATTAGGATGACGCACTCACTTACGCCTTGTGTATCCTCCTCGTTTTTTTCTTACTTTTTCCTACTCCCTCCGTCTTAAAACTATCTTCCAATTCTCGTTTGTGTTCACGAGCTGAGGTTTGACCGATATTATTTTTAATTCAATTTATTTGATTGTAAGTGTAAAATTAAAAAATAAAATTTATATATTTAAAAACTACATCAAAAGTTCTACAAAATAAGAGGTGATAAGACTATTATTTTATCAAATAACTAACAAAAATAGGTAAAGAAAGTGATTTAAGTTTGACCGCGTGAATAATAATTGGGAAGATAGTTTTAGGAGGGAGGTAGTATAATAAGAAGGCTATGTAGTGTTCTACTTCAAATACAATGTCTACATTTTTATTTTTTATTTAATATTTATCTATTTCTACTCAAATCAAATATTATCTTTCATAACAAAATAAAAATTATTTTTTTTCATATTTCTATTTCGGGATTTTTTCGGTATTATATGTTAATTTTTTTTATTTCAATTTATATATATATATATATATATATATATATATATATATATAGGATTTGTTCAACTAAAATACTCTAAAATACTCAATAAAAAAGAAAAAAGAACTCATAATTCATAATTGAAAAATAATCTATAATTTAAGTAACCCTATTTTTGGTTTCAATTATTTCAAACACGTTTTACTTTTTTTATAGCATAACAAAAAAGAAAAAAACCATATAAGTTAGTTTAATTTAAAAGGGGAAAAATATGATGACATACTTTGATGACATATAATCCTTTAATATAATATTTGAGACTCCGTTTGCTAAAAAGTCGCCAAAAGACAAGCTTATGTGGGCTATATTAAGGTGAGATGACAAGTCTTTATTGGTTGCTTATGTGACAAATTTTATTAATGATGAATTGACCTTTCTTTTTATTTTAAAATAGAAATTTAATAATGATTTTAAATTTTGGAAAAATTTTACGTTAAAAGATTTAGTAGAAATAAAGAATTCACTACTTCGTGACATTAGTTGAGTATTTATATTTTTATTTTTAAAAAGCAATTCATCTATTTATTTGTTATGATGTGATAAAATTAATTATGTTATAAAATCAAATTTGTGAAAGATAAATGTAGTATTGTCCGAAATAAAATTTTTAAAAGAAAACAATTATATAAAATATAATTTTATGATAAAAATTATTATGATGTAGCAAACAATTAGTGAAAATATAAAATTGGTATTATTAGTTACCATTTCAAGCATTTTTTATGAATCAAATTTTTAACAAAGTGCATACACACAAAAAAAATTGATAATGATATATTCTCATTTAAGAGTATTCTTATAGAAAAGGATCAAATATGTTTATAATTGATCCTTTATTTATAAAATTGATATTTTAATCTTTAAGAAGCAGAGATGTGATATTGTTTAAGAGACATTTTCTGACACGTAAAATCCTTTATATATAATATTTGAAAGTTGAACTCTCAGAATTGCGACATTTGGCGTGATGACTGGAATGCTTTTTGACACCTAATCAGCCATGTCATCAAAAGAATTGAATCGAACTTTCCTTCGACTAATTTATGATATAATAAAAGAAATTATGTAACTTAATAAAATTAGTGAAACATAAATATAATATTGCATAAAATAAAAATTATTAATGGAAAAAAGAAAAGTTTCTTTTTTAACTAACAAAATTTTCAGTAAAATTTTTACCATAATATTATGCTCGAACTCCAATTAAGCTTAAAAATTAGTCAATTGAATAAAAAGGATATTAAATCATTTTTATAGAAAACAAAAATAAATCAAAACAAACTAAAACAAATTAAAAATGAGAACTTTTAACATTTATTAATAAAATTTTGATCTAATTATTATTATAATAACTTTATTTAATTTTAAAAAGTACTCCGTAACGAATAAAATTACACATTTCTTCAAAAATTATACTGACTACTTAACTTAAAACGAATAAAAAAAATTTCATTTACAACGTAACTTATAATGGTAGATAAGATACACACTTCACCTATATATTAATTTCACATACATTTAATATAATATTTAAAAACTAGATCAAAATATTCTTTAGAAAGAAGAAAAAGTTGAACACAAATAGATTATTAGTTAATTTAAAATATATTTTTTCTGTATAAATTTTAACTTAGTGCAGATTTAAAAAAGTAAATTTTTTTAGGAAAAATGTACAATTTTAATAATGATTCGTTTATATTTAATATTATTCTCATACAAACAGAATATGTTTAAATTAGCCAAATATATAAATATAATGAACATAAAAAAATTAGAAAAATATGCAATTTTTTTATCTTTTTCTAAATATATAAAAATGAGACTCGAGTAATTAAGAACTGACATGTGGCTTACTCATGAGCTTCTTTTTAACACCTAATATGTCACATAGATTTTGATGTGGAAATAGGAAATTAAAAGTTTGGTAAATATTTCTGAATCTTTACATATTAAATTTGAGAGTTAATCTCCTAGAATTGCGAGAAGTGACGAATCTACATGGCAACATTTTAACAGATCACCGGCCACCTATTAACGATTGAATAACGTGGAAATTTTAATCAAAATATGAGTAGATCCAATTTAAGTTGTATACGGAGTATATCTCTTATGTACAGTGTTGCTATAATTTTTTGGAAAAAATTACTTTGTACCAGAATAAGAATAAACATGGAGAAAATTTTGTAATAAAAGTACATTTTTTTTCTCCAAAATAGGAGTCACCAAATATTAAGAGATTTCTTAGTTTCAAAAAGAAGATATTTGTAATGTATTTCTACCGAAAAACAAAGTTTGTTCTGTATATTGGTGTTTAAGTATACAAAATTGACAAGAAAAAAGTCAATTGAGAAGATCAAATCCAAACACAAAGGGAGTATTGTTAAAGAAATTAGAACAATACATGAAGTTTTATGCAATTGAGTGAGAACTAAAAATATTTTTAAAAAAAATTAAAACATCAACTTCTAAAATAATTAAAATAATACTCAGTAGTATAAATTTTTAAAATCAACTTCTAAAATAATAGTTACATTTTTCACATAAAATTTTAAAAAATTATCACATAAAAATAATCACATATATTTCACATACCAAATTTTTTTCACTTGATATGAATTTAGTTTCAAAGAGCAAAACAAATATAGTTACAAGAGTTTTCACAAAGAAAAATTACAAAAACATTTAAAAATAATCATAGGTATTTCACTTTTGACTTCATTGAAGTCACAACAAGCACTTTTTAAAAAAACACCAAAAAATATTTGCATTGGATATATACAACAAAACAATATTTGCAAAAAAAAGGGAATCACATATTTTTCATTTGAAATTTACTAGCTTAAACATGAGTGGCTAATAGAAGGACACAACACATTAAGATGCCCCTAAATGTACAATTGAGATAAAATTATAATTATTATAACGGAGACCTAAATTAGCAAAAGGCTAATCCAAAAGGGTCATTTTGAAAAATTACTCTTCATTAAAATGTTGAAAATATCTAAATTTCCTCCATTGAACATTCATTTAAGAAACATATACGGAATACACTAAGTGAATAAATTTCAACTATAAAGTACTCTATAGATAATTAATGCTTAAAAACACTGATTTGGAAAATACATTATTCGAAGATACTATTTCGAGATTACACAAAGAAATTTATAATTTATAATTAGGTGACTAAAAGATTTAAGACTATATTTTTTAAGAAATAAGTATACGTGTCATGATTATGTACTTTATTTTTAGACAAATGGATAATATGTCTACTATGAGATTGACTCAATGCATATCTTACATAAAAGTTTTGTTTATGGCAAGATGGCTAATTGTGATATGAAATAAAAGTATTTCCATGCAATTTGACTAT